ATGTGCGAAAAGTCTTTGATACATATCCAGAGGTATCCGACGGGTATTAACGTATCGGACACAAAAATGTCACCCCGATCGGAGTATATGTGTGCTTAATAAAAAAAATATATATTTATTAAGATATGCTTTAGTTTAAAAAATAAAAATAAAATATTTACAAAGATTGTGTTCACATTGACAAATGATATCAATATTGTTTAGAGCATCATATCTTTAGTCAATGTGAACATACAGGTTTATATGATAACTTTAACAAGTTTTTAAGATCCAGTGGCACGTTACTAAGGTGTGTCTTATGTTCTTTTCACACTGATTTTAATTGACGAAAAAAGCATCGATCCTCATTGTTGGCTCCTCACTCCTCACATCATTAGAAATTAGTTTGAAAATGTGAGCGGGGAGGCAACGATGGGTGATTAGAGATTTTTTTTTTTTTTTAAAACGACGAGGATGTTTGAACTAACTTAGGCACACCTTGACTAATTTCCTACCTCGATCCAATTAAAGATAGGTCATTCACGCTGAGATTAGTGTTTCTTTCATGTCAGAGTAAAATATGGGGTGTAACGGTTAAATTATATCAGAAATGTTAATGTGGTGTAACTATCCAATGAAAAAATAACAAAATAGATAAAATGAGACTTACTTTTTTATTATGGAGGTGGTTATGTATTATATGGTTGGGTGATTATAAATTTTTATAGGGCTCACTTGCATACTTATTTACTTATTAGTGGACGATTATACCACGTGATACTATTGACTTAATGTAATAGTTGCACCAAATATTTTTTCCTTCAATTAGACAAGAGTAAGGTTAGTGAGACTTAAAATTTTTTATTTAATTGTTGATCGAATGATTTTCTCAAGTGATAAAAAAATTTTAAAAAATAAAAATTTCACCCGCTACCATTACAAAGGAAATGTTGATCCATACCACTATCACATCACCAATCAATAAATTAATTTGAGCAATGCTACATAAATTTAAAAAATAAACTTAAAAATTAGACTTGATAATCTCAACTATTAATTTTACTGTGGGTCCCAGCATTTATTGAGACCCACTACATATTCAATGATTGAAATTTTTAAATCCATCTAGCATTACTCAATTAATTTAAATACAAAAAACAATACTCGTTAAAAAAAGTAAAGCATCAAATATAGGGGGGGTCCAACTGATTTACTTTTGGGGATTGAATGCTTGACCCTATTATAAAATACAAGGGAGATCATGCGTTAAACTTTTTGGTAATCATTTAATTTAGGGTAATTATAATTGATACTTTCTTTAGATAAATATATCTTCAATGACATTTCATATATTATTTGAAACATCACTGACACCCCCATTAATGACGTTAACTATAATACAATTTTACTACTCCATGATATATTATAGGAAAAATTTCTTCCACACCTCTTATAGATAAACATATCTTCAATGATACTTTTTTTATTTTTTGAATTTTTTTAAGTATTAAAATTTGAATCGATTAAAATTCAATTCAAGTTAATTAATTTTTTTTTTTACGTATTAAAATTCGAGTTGATTACAAATTATTTTTTGTTACGTATTAAAATTTGAGCGTATTAATTGTTTTTTTTACATATTAAAATTTGAGTCGATTCGAGGTCAACCTGAGTTGTTAGTGCCGATAAAAATTTTGATTCGAGTCAATTAAAATTTGTATTTTTTTACGCATTAAAATTCAGGTCAAATAAAATTTGATTCAGATTGATTAAAATTCGTTTTTATGTATTAAAATTTGAGTTGATTAAAATTTATATTTTTTTATGTATCAAAATTTGAATCGATTAAAATTCAATTCAAGTTTAATGAGCTTGAATCAAATTTTAATCGGCTCAAATTTTAATATATAAAGAAATAAATTTTAATCAACTTAAATTTTAATATGTAAAAAAATAAATTTTAATTAACTGAAATTTTAATCAAATTTTATGTAAAAATATTATTTGGGATTTATATAGGCGCAATTTTGATGTTGGGATTTTAGACGATTTTTTTTTTGTTTTTTTGGTTCGAAATGGTGGTTTTGGGGCCGGGAGTGTGAGTGATGTTTAAATATAAATTTGAAGGATGTCAGTAATACTTTGGATAATAGAGGGAGTCTAATTGAAGATATACCTATCCCAAGAGGATGCGGACGATAATTACCCTTTAATTTATTACATGTATACAATCGCTGGAGTGACAAATCACGGCACATTCTAAGGAAATTTCAAGTTTCATTTTCAAAACAAGAGAAAATACAGCATTTTTTTTGGAGTCAATATAAAACTTTATTTTAACAGATAATTTTCACTGAAAAATTGAAATGAATACGTCACAGAAACAAACTTACAATTGGAGAGGAGTCTAACGAATTTAAGGCCCACGCTTTTTTTTTTTGTTTTGGCCTTAGGGATGCCGGTACCTCCCAAAAAATTTAATAAGATAAAAGTATATTTTTTAAAATAATTGGGATAAAAGTATATATGCTAACAAAAAAAAAAAAAATCATAAAAGCTCTTTTATCCTTACCATAAATAATGCATACCTAATTGAATGTGAGACTTTCAAGATTCTTTTTTATATTTGTATATCATTTGAATTTTGAAATTTCATATATATATATATATATATACACACACACACACACGTAAAACAGTGACACATTTAACAAAAAATAGTAACATCAAACAGTGACCCGCTCAACAAAAAAAGAGTAACATCAAATAATAACACACTCAACAAAAAAATAGTAATATCAAACAGTAACACAAATATTTTTGTGGATGGAGCATATCATTGTTTGATGTTATTATTTTTTTGTTAAACGTGTCACTGTTTGATGTCACTGTATTACGTGTGTGTGTGTGTATATATATATATACGAAATTTCAAATTTTAAATAATACACAAATATTAAAAGAAATCTTAAAAGTCTCACATTTTAATTTTGAAAGTCTTACATCCAAGTAGGTAAGCACTATTTATGATAGGGATAATTATGAAATATATTTTTAAAAAAATTTAAAAATATTTTAAAATATGTACTTATTGACAATTATTTGAGGAAAAAGAGGACTTAAAAGAGAATAAGTTTAGAGCTGATATTTAAAGTCAAATAAATTTTAAAAAAAGAACTCACATTTTATTATGTCTTTGTTTTTTTTTTACCCCCAGATTGATCTTGGTAATCATCTCAACCACCTCATTGAAAAGTCTCCTGGTCAGGGTCCAAACATGGAGAAGTCTAGAGTCAAACCATTTGGTCTTAGTCAATTATTTATCAAATCACTAATTTAAGTTCAAAACTTCATTACTAATTAGAAAGTTCAGGGGGTCTTTATGTCATTACAAATTTATTAGAGATTTCTTATGTGATTAGTGGATACGGATGGATCTAGTGGTCCAAAAAAAAAAAAACTACAAATGGATGTAGGAATACATAGGATATATTACATTGATAACCCATGGGGTTTTTGAAATTTGGTAACAACCCAATTTTGTTTCTAAAATCATAACGATACTCCTATTTTAAGTTTCCGCAATAGATTGTGTTTATGTTATTGTAAACCCTATAATCTATGTTATTTATAAATATCTTGAGAAAAACTTTAAAGAAATGAAGGAGATAATTAAAAAAAATGACATATTAGGTATTCAAAAAAAGTAAAATAGATTGATAATTTGGTTTAGCAATAATTAAAATAAGCATTACTTATTCAATTAAATTATAAAAATAATTTAATTTTTTATTAACAATTTTATTATTTAAATATGTTTACGTGCAACACAAATCGTGCATCGCTAAATACTAGGGGCCAATAAAAAGGGTTGAACCCAGTATCTCAAAATTTACTTTTTTTTCGAAGGTTAATTTTACACCACTAGGTTACTCATGAGAATTAGTAATGATGCTACAAAAAAATATCTACCTCAGACTAAATGACAAGTCGGGGCAACATATGTCGATCTAGTCAATACAGGATAAGTCAGGTTAGGTTAGACCTAATCAATGGCTGACTAGGTCAACCATGGGACTCTAAAAGATGACAAACTATTTCGAAATTACCAGAAGGGGTAAAGGAGAATTTTCACTAGTAAAACCCTCCTTGGGCAATAAGACACCGCCTCCTAAGATTATGTCATCAATTCTAGAATGTCATGTTACGCCTTTAGATAAAAGTCATTAACGACCAAATATTTTTCAAATAATTTTGCTATGAGAACAACGATTATCTATGTATAAAAAGCTAATCAATTCGCTGCCTCAAGGACAAGCGTAACACTATACCCTAATGTATACACCTTCTTCCTCAAGAAATATATAGTCAAGGAGTAAGAGTGTCTATTACAATGAATTAACTCATCTCCTCAGTTAGGTGAACCACTTAATTTTATCCACATTCTTTACTTGCTTTAGCACACACATAGAGCACACATCATCTAGAGCATATTCAGCTTACTCACTCACATTTCTCGATTTTTTACACCATCAAATAATGACAACCGTTGCCTTTTACTAATATCATGTTATTATATGGATTTCTCATTTCATTGAAATATTTGTCTCACATATGACCACAAAAATATTTCTAGCAATAGGTGTATGACCAAATTTTAAGAATAAGAGGTGTGAATAAAATTAATAGGAACTTTTAAGGGTTTTCGGTGAAATTTACATAAATGTGTAAATTTTCTTACAAGGACAAGCCCATTGCGGCAAGCGAATATTAATATTAACGGGGAAAAGTCCTTTTCGATGTCTTTCGTTCTCTTCCTCCTTAATTTCCAAGGACAAAAAGGAGTTTGATGTGCAAACTTGACCTTAAACACATTAACCCCCTCATCTTCCGAAAATTACCAACCCAACACTCCCCGTCCCCCAAGTTTGTCGATGCAAATATAGAGAGAGAGATACACACAAAAGAATCCTAGAGAGAGACAGAGAAGGTGCTCGTGGAGGCCCTGATATGCAGGTGGCATGGAAATGGAGAGATCGCTGGAAAGAGCTTTTGTAATGGCGAATCTGGAACCGTAACTCGTTGAAACCCGTAACCTTCTCTGCAAAAAAAAAAAAAGGGGTTCTTTCAATGATCATACTTGCTATCTGATCAAATCGCGATTTTCAGGTGCAAATCTCTATCTGTATCTTTCTATCGTTCCTCATTTACCTGCATTGTTTGTTTATGTTTTCAGCCTTTTCGCGTTCTGTTGTTATTCTTTGAACCATTTGGATTTCACGGTTTCATTCAAACGTGCATCAATTTGCTTTCTTAATGATGATAGAATTTTCCTTAACTTGCACGTAATTTTTTTATTTTTTTTGGTACTTTGTTTTCTCTGATTTTGATTTATTTTCACTTTCTCTAGTTTTATTTTTGAGTGATTTGTTGTTTTGTTTTGTTAAAGAGATGGCGGAAGTGACGAAATTATTGTACATCGTGGTGGTGGAAGAAGATGAAAAGAGAGAGGAAGGAAAGGAGTCTTTCCGGTATACAAGACCTGTTCTGCAGAGTACTCTGCAGCTCATGGGATGCAAAGCTCGTCATGGTTTCAAGGTATTGTTATTGTTACTCACTCAAATTCAAAACTCCCAATTCTAATCGTATTTGTTGTTTATGGTTTGTTGATTGTTGGTTAATTTTTGTTATATGATGTGGATTTTATTATTAAGGAGCTAAAGTTCCTGATCTCAACTGTCTCTTTTGTCTGCACTCCGTTTTCTTTAACATGGCTGATTAAGATCAGGACTTCAGGTTATGTGTTCTACAATTTCTCCAAGTTTGCGTGGCAGATCAAGAATGCATGCAATATATTTGTTATATTTTTAAATTTTATTACCTGTACTGTGAAAAATCATACTCGTCGTCCAGTTTGCTATAACTCTTTGCTTTAAAGGGTTAACCACTTAACCCGTAGTAGATTGGCTACCGGCGTGTCCTTGTACATCATCTTCTAGGATCATTCACCTTTGCTCAATTTATTCCTAAAATTATTCATACTGGTGTAACAATGGGTCACCAACTGCTGCATACCAGGTTTTTCTCAATACCTTTTCGACTCAAGCTTCTTTAGCAATTTTAATTTGCGGATGAGAAATATTGCAGGGTCATGCTTCTTTCATTCTGAAACATTTAGTCAAATTTTGCTGGTTAGTAATTGTTTGCTGATGGTCATCGTGTCTAGTGTAGATTCACACATAGTTATGGGGTTTTCGGGTTGTTTTTTCCTTTGATTTTGTCATTCATAGAATTGAATTGTAATATTTCTTTGTTAGTTGTTGGACCCTTCTAATTTCAAAGGCTGCATGCAAATTATGTTCTTGAAATGAAACAGTTCAGTTGGCAGATGGGATCCTCCTGTATTTCATTTCCTTAAGTTTTTCTTGCATCCATCTGGTCCTCTACATTGTCATTGAGGTATGGAGACTCACTGTTCTGGTCATGTTGGTCATTTATTCCTCCAGAATGATACCAAATCATAGCTTCACAGGTTGTGCCTTGTAAGGTTCAGCATTACAGATTAGATTATTTGTTGCATGAAAAAGTGAATTGTGCTAATGACGTTATGTTAGTAATTGTTTAGAGGTAAACAGACAAAAAATCCAAAACTCTGATGCTTATGCTACATTTTTCTTCTTTCTAGCTCATGGTAGGTATTAATGTTTGCTAGTAAACAAGTTAGATATTAGTTCTAAATTGACTCTTTCTGTCTGAATCAGATTAGCCAAAGGGTTTTTGTTGAATGATGAGAAGTGGATGTTTTGCGGATGCTCACTTCATTGGGGCGTAAAGTTTTCAGACATTGTCATCGTAGTAAACACTATCTGTCAAGAAAACTCTTTCAATAAACAACAGATAAGCATTCTTTTTCAAGAGAGCATGATGCTTGCTTCAATAAAGCAGATGGAGGCAGCCATTTGGTTTCAGAGACTGATGTTAGAAGTAAAAGCAAAACATTTGAATTGTACAAAATACGCACAACTGTTTTTGTTAGAAGGACAGCATTCTTAGATGTTGTTTGTGATGTTCTTGCTGAATACAAGTATGTGGGTCCAAATCAGCGGGCCGATCTGATGTTAGCTTGCAGGTAGAGTTTAGCATTTCTTATTCATTCAGTATAATTACATATGCTATGAGCTGTTTGGAATAAGGTTTCATTGAGTTGAGTTAAGATTAGCAGTTTCTACTAATGAGCCTTTTTTGCTAACATTTTGTTGATGGGGCTGAATATTGGTTGCCCCTTTTTTTTTTGCCTTGCCTGTTGCATTGCACATCTTGTTCCTCCAAGAGCATTAGTCGAAGAGGTAAATTTGATCTTGTTTAATATTAATATTTAACACTTTAATTGTTCAATGAGTGAAAGTCTGTCAAAATGCATATTTAATCTCTGCTGTCCATGGCAGCTTGTGGAATTTTACCCTGTATTTTGATTAATTTTGCTAAGTTGTTCTCCGTTGCAGTCGGTTGGATTATTTTGCATGTCATCTGTGTCTCGCTGAACCATTTATTTCTTGAACCTGAGTCCGCCTGAATGTGCGCTTAAAACAATTTTTGGTGGCTTAGGTGAAATATGTTTCTATATATAGCTTAAGCCACTTATATATTGGATCATATTTGGATATGTTCTATGCTGCCTTTACTTTGTGAAGCTCTTGCAAGTCATGGTATTTTACCTGTATAATGAAAAACTGATATATGTGCGACTTTCTGGAGCCCTCTAGACAGCCTGACTCTTTTGACAGCTTGCTATTTGTTTTCCAAGTGATCCAAACACTTAGGTTATTTCTGTTGATAGTTGGTATAGTCCTGTGTATTTTTTTATGCTTCCAATTGATTTTTATATGAAGTTATGACCAATTGCCGTCAGTGAATGTTATGACTAAGATCCTTCTTTGTACCATCTCTCATTCCAAAGATTTAGATTGGTAGACACATCCCATTGTCTGGAACAGGGACATTGGTAGTGACTGAGGGGGTTGAACAGTAATAAGCGATCTATTTATACCAACCCTTCTCTATGATTTACTCTGATGAAGGAAATGTTTTGAGGTATTTGTTGTGGGATGGGTACGAGGATAGCCATGCTTGCTCTACTGCTGCTTGAGGAATAGTTCAACTGACTACACCATCAGATAGTCTCTCCTCTGACCCTATCCTGGTTCACATAAATGTTTGAAAACTATATTGCCAACGTTCTGCCATTAAGGTTGTGGCTTCCTTTTTAAGAACTTAGATTTTAGAATTAGCATATAGAACACAGAGTTAGCACCCTACTGAGGTTTTATGGATCGTGAAAATAACCGCCTTGTCCTCATACCTTCAATTCTCAGCAGCCTCACTCTCTCCTAATCACCATTGCAAATTTTGTTTTAGTTCTAGTGGCTTCAAAATAATGTTTGCTAAAACTCCATACATAAATACAACCTTTGCTATTTCTGCCTCTACCTTCACGTGTCCTATATTTTTTGGGATTAATCCCATAGGGCACTTGAATTGACTTGATCTCTGTTCTTGAACATTTTTGTTGTATAAATGCTGTACCTCCAAAGGTGTAGTTTGTGGTAATAGATATCTGATATACATGTTTGGATAATCAATTATGAAATGCCATGTTTTCTTCTTATTTGGCATAGAAATCTAACAGACAAATTTGCCTTGAAATTGTGGGTTTTGCATTTACATCGTATCAAGCATAATATGGTATGCGGGTCCAAGAAAACTTTGGCAAGAATTATTGTTTTTTTTCTATAAAATTAGCACTCTGAGTTGGTCTCAAGGTGAAAATGAGACTTATCTGACACTATAATAAAGTTTCATGCCCAAGTCGTGATTGTTGGGGTCACCACCACATTAATTAAATCAGTTGCAGCTTCTTTGCATCATACTGCGAACTGACAAGCATCATACGTTGAGTTATGTTGCTTATTAGTTGTTACAATGTGTGTTTAGGCGGCACAAAAGAGTTTATCTTTCTGTTTTTGGAGTTTATTGTTTCTGATTGTAAATTGTGTGATATCATTTTTTTCCATATGCTATGCTCTGTTTTCATTTTTCCTAAGAGATTATTTACGTGTTCCAGAATCCGGGAAAGGAAGGAATCTGTTACCGTGCTTTTATGCGGCACTAGTGGCTGTGGCAAATCTACTTTGTCTGCGCTGCTGGTATTTATTTTTGTTGTCCAAAGTACTCTTTTTTCCTGCTTTGCTTTTGTATGTACTGGAGTGTTTATGGCATTTTTTGCAATTCTTTGCTTGGTGTTATTCTTGTGTTAGATAGTCATAATTTGTAGTATATAAAGTTGTAGTTAGTGTTCATAGAAAACGATATTGTAAGTTTTGACATTTGATAATGCACGTGTTTAGTGAATGATTGAATCATGTGCTCTGCTCATCACTTTTACTATAGATGTTACAAAAATTATTTTTTATTTCTTAATTTGATCAGCTTTTGAGAGAATTGTTATTCTGGGGAATAAATTTAAAATAGGGGATAACCCCGCATTCGACTATTTTTTGGAAGCAAATGATCTGGAAAATTTTATTGCTTCTACATATCCTACTATCATTAGCCTTTGCTACAGACTTCGGTTGAGTGGCTTTTGGTAATCTGTACTTCTGAATCCAGACACAACGTAAAAACTTTAAGATAGAATACATTTGCATCTATGTTTGAATTTTGAGTTTTGAGAATGTGTTGGACAAAATGACAAATTATGTAACCAGTCATTGTATATTCAATGTATGTTAATATAAAATAATATAAAATTTGTTATTCAATCTTTGAGTGCTTCCTAAATCACTTTTGCAGGGTAGCAGGTGGGGATCACAACTGTGATATCTACTGACTCAATACGACATATGATGAGGAGCTTTGTAGATGAAAAAGAAAACCTCTCTCTTTGGGCATCAACTTACCATGCTGGAGAGTACTTGGATCCTGTGGCTGTTGCAGAAGCAAAGGCGAAAAAAAAAGCAAAAAAGTTAGCTGGTGTTTCAGCCCCTTCACTGACAAAGGGTGACATATTTGAAGGTTCCACAATTGAACAATCATCTCTTGAGGGGGGTCCTAGTACTGTCGAATTGATCAGTCCAAAACAGATGGCTGTTGAAGGATTTAAGGCACAAAGTGAAATGGTCATCGAAAGTCTCGATCGGCTGATCACTGCATGGGAAGAGCGGAAAGAATCAGTTGTCGTTGAGGGTGTTCACTTAAGCCTTAATTTTGTGGTATGGTTCACACTTAATCATGAAAGGTCTTTCTCGCAAAGATTTTTATTTTGTTCAGTTCTAATCTCAGTTTTTCTTTGATTGCTCAGATGGGGCTTATGACGAAACACCCTTCAATCATACCATCATGATATACATCACAAACGAGGAGAAACACTTGGAAAGATTTGCAGTACGTGCAAAGTACATGACGTTGGAACGGCTAAGAACAAGTACGTAAAAATATATTCGGAATATTAGAACAATCCAAGAAATCTCTGCAATCGAGCTGACAAGCATCTGGTGCCGAAGATAAATAATACCAATGTTGATAAGAGTGTGGCAGCTATCCATGCAACAGTTTTCAGCTGCCTACGAAGGCGTGAGGTGGGAGAGCAGCTCTATGATCCCATCACCAACACAGTTGCTTTAATTGATGAGGAGTACAGGAATCAGTGTATGCAAATTCATCTAAGCTCCAAAGGAGTGTTTCAAGCTGATCCAAAGAAAAGGTTCTTCTAGGCATTTGATGGCTC